GCCGCCTCTGCCGCTCTCATCGCGGCACTGCCGGGGGTCAGCCTCGCAGAGGGTGCTGCGGCACACGGCCAGCGCGGCGGCCGCCACCGCCACCGCCGCCTGCAGAGCGATGCAACCTGCCCGGTAGGAACGCGCAGTTGCCTGCCGTCGTTATTAAACCTTTCAGCAGCAACTGAGAGCGGATGGCGAGGAGGAGAAACGGCGCTTGCGACAAAACCCCAGTTCTCTGCAGCTTTGGGCAAAGCACTTAATCTGTGCTTCCACCCCACAGGGTGGGCTTCCTCCTCCTCCTCCTCCTCCTGGTGTCTCCTGGAAAGGCAGGTCCAGAGACTGCACCAGACAACGTGCTTTTGTGGGAGTCTCTAGGTATTATTGCAATATTAAGTATTAAAGTCCTAACCAGTAATGGACACTTCTAATGAACACCAACTGCTGCTGGCCTGCACTGAAACCTACTTATCGCACACATTGGGATCCAACAGCAAAACTGCTCTGCAGAGACAAGGTCAAGGCTCTGCTTTAAACCTATTACTCACATAAGACAGTAATTACTCCTAATCTCAGAGCAAAGCAAGGGGAAAGAGATTAGCTTGCCGGGAGTGCGGCTGAACCTGTTACGAGAGCAAGTGGTCTGGAAACCTCCGCACTCCTCTTAAAGCTTGAGCTGTGTAAATGAAGGGAAGGATGAGCCAGACGCAGTCGCTAGAAAGGGCCTGGCCCTTCTCCAGCAGATGTACCGGCTGCTTGGGCTGGGGAGGAGAAAAATCACAGCGCGGTGGCAGGGCTCTGCTTCCACCGCAGCGTCGGGTGTTCCGTCAGACCTCGCAGGGAGGAATCGGAGGGCATTCCTCACGCTGCCGCTCTCGCTGCTGGCAGAGCTTCGCCAACAGCTCGCCGGGCAGCCCGTTCCCCTCATCACAGAAGCGTATTAGCTCATTTATCCGCAGGCAAACGCGCGTCTCGCCGGCCTCAGCCGCGAGGTAGGGAGAGCAGGAGCTGGAGGAGCGAGCGCTCGTTTGACACTGTACAGAGCTGGCTGGCTTGGCACGCTCGCCCGAGAGCTGGGTTTGCGGATCATGGCTTTACTGAAAGCTCGCCCAGACAGCACATCTTCTCCACTCAGCCTAAATAGCAGCATGTTGTGGTCCCAGCACTGTTGTTCTTTCCCAACAAAGCATTTAAGATAGTCACAGCTACAAAGGTCGGTAAGTATACACACACCCTCCGTCCTCCTCGGCGTGCACCGTTTGGGATCCTGGAGCTGAGACACGGTAATTCTTAGGAGAGTCAGCGACGGCTGTGCTGGGGGAAGACCTGTAATTTATTTTGTCTTTCCTAAAATGGCCTCGCTGATGGGTGCATCACTGGAGTCTGGAAAGCGGTGGCCCTAAAAACAGCTACAAAACCTCATGGCTTTAAAAAAAAAAAGATACTCAAAGCAGCAGCAGCTCCTGCACATCAAAACCGGAGATGACGGAGGACCTGCTGCTGCAGAAGTAGCAGGGACTGAAAGTCAAAGAAAACATTCTTTGACCAGGAAACTAAATTAAAAACTATCAGGTGGATTTAACAGCTATGCGTTTTACAGTATTTCAGTATTTCAGTTTCACTGTGCCTTTCCATCACCATGCATGTGGCTTTCCTTTGCGTGACTTACTGACAAGTGACTTTCCATGAACGGAGCTCGTTTCTCCCCTCCTTCCTCCCCTCCCGGGGAGTTTCTCGGAGGGACGGGCGGTGGAGCAGCCCGACCCAGCCTGCCGACCAAGGCAGGCAAAGCTCAGACGCAGGCAGCAGGGCTGCAGAGCTGGGTGACGACTGCGGTTCCTCCGTGGCTTAAGAGGTGTAAATTCAGAGAGTGCCCCGGGGTGTCTTGCTCACAGAGCTGGGACTTGCTGCCCACATGCTAATATTTGTCTCCAGCAAAGGCTGCTCTCCAGAGCTCACGTGGCCGAACGAGCCTGGGTACCGCAATCACTGAGCCGGTTCCCAGAATAGAGTGAAAGCTCCTGGAGGACCCGGTCTCCGACTCTCAGGGGACGCTGTGGCTGTGAGCACGTTACCTGCTTCCAACCCCCCAGTGCCAAAGGGAGCTTTATTTCTGGGGCTCCTTTGCTGCCCCAGCAGATTGCTGGTGGGCCAGCACACAGCTGAGAATAGACTCCGGTTTGCTATCCTGGAGAACTGCAGCACAAAATTAACCTTCCCTACTTCTACCATAAACGTGCCTCAAACCAGAGTGAAGGCGTGCCACCATCCTTTTTTATCTGCAAGAATGCAGCAGCTGAGAAATAACTGTGCAGGCAGCGACTTTCTGAGAGAAACTGCGCACGGACAGTAAAGCCATCCTGAGAAAAAATGGGGCAACAAGACTGGAACGCGAGTGAGCATGCCTGGCAGAGCTTTGCTGGGTCCGGCCCCTGCAGCTTCAGTGCCTTCACAGGTTGCATGTGCCCAGCTGAGCTCCAGGAGCTTAACTCCAGTGGCTGGTCTGCCCTCGAGTCGCGCGGTCACCTCTAACACCTGGGAGAAGCTGCCCAGGCTGCGACCTTGCCTCCCGGTATGAGCAGCGCCCGTAGGAAGGGGTCTCGTCTAGAAACGCTGCAATATTTGAGCCGGAGACATCGCAGCAGCATGCACGTGCTCGGGGAAAACCCAAGGCGCTTGCCCAGGGACCCTCCTCGCTCCGTCCCTGCCCACCCCAGATGCGGCACGTGTCGCGCTGCTCCAGCTCCTGCGCTCACCTTGATCCTCTCGATGCCGGCTTCAATGCGGAGCTGCTCCACCAGCTTGCGGGCCTGCGCTATGTTGTTAGTTGTTGACATTGTCTGCCATCGGCTCCAGGCCCCAGCACGCGAGAATACTGCAAAACAAGGAAGGGGGAGAGGGGGGTTGGCATCGTGCACAAAGCCGCCACGCCACCGCGCACCATCTCGAAAAGGGTTGTGCACCGCGTCCTCACCGACAGGCATGTGCAAAGGGCTTCCACGAGCTCTAAACCGATGACACCAACTTAACGTTTCCTGATTTTGCTTCAAGTTCCCCTTTCCTTTAAACACCACTCTTGGTGCTCTTCAGGCTTTTTTTTTTTGATTAAAAAAACCAAACAGAAACTTGCCGATGAGAGGGGAAAAATAAAACTTTTTCTGCAGAAAGTCCTGCCAGATGCATTCAACCGACCGACTGGAAAAGCGAACAGAAATTTTCCAGCCCACGTAACCTGCCATGCACCTCTCGCAGCAAGCCAGGCAGGGGGAAGGTGGACGGGGATGCCGCTCAACTGTGACCACACACAGCTCCTGGATGTTCACGCTCGCTTTTTATCTACTCGTTGCACTGCTGCCTTCGCCCTGCCCCGACTCCTCCGTCAGGATTTCCTCTGCACAATGAGGCTCCGAGCAGTAACTAGAAACGCTCGATACCGTGCAAACTCAGCCTACGCTATTTATCCATCATTCTGCAAATTGATGTCCCTGAAAAAATTAGAGTAAGAAAGTAGGAGCGACAAACGGTCCCAGGCTGGGTGGTAGGTGGCAAGTCAGGGCTCAGGCAAGGGGCAGAGGTTTCTCAGATGCCAAAGCACTGGATGGAAGCAGGGGACAGGCAGCGAGGCACGGGCACCGACACGGGGGGGATACGAAAGCATGAGAGGCACCAACGGCTCATGTCTCAAATGAACCTTCCACAAAAATGGTGCAAAATAAGGGCCCAGTTGAACACGGAAACAAGGAGAGCACCGCAGGGTGAGCCGGAGCCAGAGCGGAGCAGGAACGGAGCTTTGCCAAAGCACAACTCCGTTCTGTGCACCAAGCGTCTGGTCTCTGGGGGTCTCGCGGACCTCATCCAGCTGCCAAACTCTGCACCCATCCCCGGCTGTGCTGATCGTGGGGCTTTAATGTACCTGTCACCCGGCCGGGTGCAACCTGCACGTGGGGCCGTGTTCCTGCGACTGCCGCGCTGCAGCCGGGCGCCCCGGCAGGGAGAAGGCAGGCGGTTAAACAACCTTCCTCGAAATTTAAAAGCAACTGAAGAAGTTTGTCTACGAGACCAACATAATCTGTCACTGTCACTCAGGCCAGAGCTGTGGGGCAGCAGCCAGGGCTGCAGCACGCCGGAGGGCAGCTCCGGCCACGCCATCCGAGCCGGACTCCCTTGGCCAGACACGGTTCTCGGGTCATTTCTTTATGATCATCTCCGTGGGGCTGCTGCAGAGGTGTCAGGAAAAGTCACTTCCTCGCCCTGCCCGGCAGTGACTCAGCCCCTGACCATTCAACGATGGCGGGGAATAGGGGAAGAGGGCTGCAGGGAGTACCACCTCCCACCTCCCGCTGCCTGACAAACCATTAGACGATGCTGGGAGGAGGAAAGAGCCAAAGCAAACACAAGGTCAGATACCAGCGGCGCTCCCAGCGCCCCAGCCAGCCACCCACTGCAGCCCTTCCGTGCTAGCTTTAATTAGAGACTCCTTCAGTCTTCTCCCCAGGACCGGCAGCTTCAAAGCAGATGCTGAACTGCTGCCTATACTGGGGGGAAGAGAGGGGGGAGTGTCTGCCCCATCTAAAATCCTAGCAGACTCAAGCTGTCTCGCCTACGTTTAGACATTAAGGGAGTTTATTCCAGACCACAACGGCACTGTCGGGGATTATTTTGCTTGGCAGCAGCATGCAACGTGCGCTGAACTTCTCTCCCTGAATGGCACTCAGCTTCGTTTGCAACACCGAATGCTGTGGGAGAAAACAAACGGTGCTTCAGCCAGCGTTACCACCTCTGTCATGAGACAACTCCCTGAATTAGCAGGGTTATTTGGAAATCTCCACCTCTCAAGTCCTGGAAGACGTTAGTCAGGACCAGGACGACATGGGAAGCCACGCTGTTGAAATAAAGTCTGGTACTGTGGAAGCTGGGAGAAGGAAGCAGGCTGGTCCTCGGGGAAGGATCCTCCTCTGCCCCGATTTCCTAAGCCACAATGCTGCAAGAGAGAGACTCGGCTGGTTTGCAGCCAAGCAGGATGTCCTCGTGCTAGCAGTGCCGGTGTCACACCTGAGCTCAGACTCGGGCCTCAGCGAGACGGCACCGTGTCTTTAACCAAAGGGTCCAGAGTCCTACAACGAGCTCGACCAGCACCCAAAGTGCCACATCAGGATGCCAAACCACAGGCAATGAGCTACCTCGCCTGGCACGGCGGATGGGTGCTTGTCCCAGCCTTCCTGACACGGCACAGGGTATGCTCCGCTCTGGTCTCTTTTCCATGAAAAAGCAGCACCTCCAGGTGGGAACACTTCATCCTGGGAGACAGCTTGTTCCTTCAGCATCCAGTGCTATATAGACACCAGCCGTCCGAGTTCTTTGGGATTTCAGAACAGCAGCTGCACCACTGCTACTGTCAATTTTTATGTCATTAATCCCTGGAAAAAGCAGGAAAGTTTTGCCCGTTAGGCAGCTAGCACACACGCAGCTACTTGTGGCCATCTTCTGACCACCTGCATTTCCAAAGAAATCCCTGCGAACGGCACGTGCTATGGTGAGAGCAGTTATCTTGAAGCACTTCGAAATAGTGCAGGCAGCATTAGGACCAGGGAAGAGCTCTAAGTCAAGCTCTTTCTAAATCTGTACTGTGAACTTGAAAGACCTTCCCACTGCAAATAGTTCACTCCTCACTGACAAAACAATCCTTCACCTGGATAAAGAGTTAGCAGGCAGCTGGAGGAAAAAGAAATACAAGCAATCAGATATAATTTATGTTTGCAGCAGCACAAGATCACCTGCTTGTACTTTCCCAGCTTCCTGTTTATGGAACAAGGCTGATGAATCAGTCGAGGACGAGTTACTTAAGGGAACTTCTGCTTCTGCCGCAGCGCTGGGAGACGCGCAGCCCGTGTCCCCGTCCCCGCAGCATCCCGTGGCTCGTGCTGCACGGGGGACACCAGCCTGGCTGAAGGAGGGATGCGTTTTACTAAGTACAGCACGGAGAGAGTCCCGCTGCGCGGCAGGAATTATCGAACTACTGTCTTAAAAGTCCTTGGCAAGGGGGAGAAGTTTTACTCCCTACTCTCCTTGTAGCCCAGTTTCATGGAGTCTTTGCAAAGCGAAAGCAACGCCTGTAAATCAGAAATGATGCTTTACTGGGGTCGTTACAGCATCAAAGCAGGCAAGCACCTGCCTTCCCCTGCCCGTGTGCTGATGACTGCTCTCCAGCTCACCACCATCATCTGCCATCCAGCGAGACCCTGCTTTGCCTACGGCAGCAATGCACTTTGCCTCTCCCAAGCGTAAAGAGCAGCATCGATCGCCCCTGAGCACAGGGCTAGTGGTTTTATAGCAACAAAATCTGCGGTGGCAGCTCCTACTTCCTCCTCAGCCACCGTCACCCAGCGGCGCTGGCGCAGGGCTCCCTCGGGGGAACCGGGAACCGAGCGAGTGGTTCCCTGCATGCCACGCTGACGGCGCAGTTCCTCTTACAGCAAGTACAAATTTCAG